AATTGATGAAGTCTCTTTGACCAACCCTTCTCTATAGGCTACTGTTGGAGTTGGAGCTTTATCTTCTCCCTGTAGTCAATCTTTGTTGGAACTGTCCTACTCAATTTACATAATTATTTACAAATTTCTTAAAAATGTAAAAAACAGATCGACCGAATTTGAATACAATGGAAAAAATTTGGGGCAGAGTGCAAAATGCAGGATAGTTTAGATACGCTAAATACTTTTTCATAAATATTCTATGCCAAAACTGATGTGTTTCTTATATGCCATAAAATACAGTAGTAATTATTTTCTATATACATTTTAATTTTAAAGAAAATTTTATTTTACAGGTATTTTGCCAACAATGAACAGCTAATCCAAAGAGTAAGTATTACATAATTGTTTTCAGTAATCAGATATTTTCTTAAAAAATAATAATAATAAACAAATAGCTGTGCAATCAAAAATATAAATTATAAGAATATCCATTACAATTATAATGCTGATTGATATATCCTGATTATCTCATCTAATCTGTAACTATAGTGTATCATAAATATAAATTTAATACACACACGTAAGTGATTGTCGAGCCCAATTTATTAACATTAATTCAAATATCTAGTGGTTGGGCTACATTTGTAGTCCAAATGCAGCTTGTTGTCGATTAATGTAGTATAAACATAATTAAATACAGTTTTGAAAGAATACAATGTATTCTTTTGAAAATATGTATTATTAAATTCAAATCAATGAATCTCCAAAAGTATGATGCTTTTTTATTGTTATTAACTCTCTGCCCTCTGGGCACTAGAGGGTTTTTTCCATACTCATTGTGGATTTGACCAGGCCCACAAATGGGGGCTGCTGAATGGCAAGGGTTTGTAGTATCCAGGATGGAGCACCTACAAAAAATTCCTGGGCGGTTTCTTGTCCAAATTTGATCCTGGGTCCTTCGTAGAGGTAGGTTGATGCCTTAACTGCCTCAGCTATCCAGCTGTCTGGTATTATGATTTGAATCTGTGTTTATCTATTAGTACTCCTTTATAATAATAACAAGCAATTTTATATATTTAGATAATAATTTTATTTCATATTTTTAGATTGTTTTTTAAATGATCTTGAATTGTGTGTTTTATTCATTCTCTGTTTCCCATATTAAATTACCAGTAATACAGTAGAATCATGATTACCCAAGGTAATGTGGACCGATGCTATCTTGGATAACCGAAAACTCAATGAAATGGATGGCCATGGACATTTCAGATGAAAAATTATGAATATAAAAGATTTATACAATACATCACTTTTACACCTCTATTTACGCATTATTGAATTTAATCATACATTTTATCATTTTAAACTTTCTTATATGAATTAGAGTATGAATAGTGGCATATTATCCTATGGGCAAAAAGGGCAACTGCCTGGGGCCCTGCCATCAGGGAGCTTTTATAAAAAAAATTTCTGCAAAGAAAAATGTCTGAAGTCAACACTGTATACATGGGGTCTCCTAATTCAAATTTGTCTGGGCCCCAATAAACTTTAACATGCCACTGAGTATAAATAGTGTATTTACAGGTTTGCCTCAGCTAATCAGGGCTCAGACAATTGGGGCTCTACTGTAAATTCAGTCCATTCTTATATTTTCTTGAAATTTTTTTCTATAATTTATTAATTTCTACTTATACACATAAAAATGTAAAACTGATTGAAGAATTTAGAATAAATCATTGATATTAATTAACATGATATATTTAGTTAATATTTGAATTTTCTATGATAAAGGTTTTCCTTTATTTTGATTATAAAAGTTTGTTTATATATTTTGATGAACTTCAAATTAACACACCAACACAAAAATTAAATCTTAACATTTTTATCAACATATAATTATGGTAATGAAAGTGTAAAATACCGTTATTATAAAATACAATCAAATCTTGATATATAGCCACCTCCATAAAGTGCTAAATATTTATCAATAAACATTTATTTATTTAAGTAATTCGACTAATCTTCAGATATTTTCTATAGCTGTCCGAGTCCTATCCGATTCGAAGAGCCGCACAGATTACAATATTTATGTTTGCTAGAAGTGAGTAAAATATTAATATCTTTGTATTATTTTAATATGTGTGTTAAGTACTGTTACATGTAGTCCTTAGTTAATGCAATTCATTAGTTTTAGGCAATTTAGATACTACACCAGTACGTTTTTACAGTTCTAAAGGAGGTCACTACTAGGCACTTTGCTTAATACTTTCACCTACCATATTAACTAGGGACTACCTGTATTAATAAATGATAATGTAAATGAAATACTATGTGACGGTTTCTTTAAACTTTCAAAAATATTTAATAATATATTTTCAAAATTACATATAGGCCCTACCTAAGCTATCTTTTAATAGTCATATTCAAAATAAAATTTATTGTTTTGTATACAAGCATCAGATGAGGTTGCTGATATGGGATAAATTTGATCTCAGGATAAAACAGGGATGAGGGGAGATATGTGGGTATGATAGGCACTGAGACAAGTCATTTTTACCATTGAACTTTTTTATTTAGGAAATATAGAAGCTTACAAAATTTTCTTAAAAGGCTTCCTTTCAGGACAGAGAGTGTTAAAGTCCAGAATAGGGATGAGATGTTGTTTTGTCAATGAAATTCCCTCGACAATCTGTTGGCATTGGGGCAGAATCGTCAAATTCTAGAGATGGGACAGGTGGTAGTCAATTGATGAATCGAAGATGGAGACTTTAGTGGAAACACAAACACAAAGGAAAAGACAAAGTTTGTACCTTGACTTTGGGAGAAAATTTCTCAGTTCTTAGAGGAAGGTTTTGATAGGAAATCCCAGTCTTAGTTCAGGGAATATTTTGGCAGAAAAGTCCTCTCTGTCCTTGAAACACAGGCTTCTATTATTTTCTATCCCTGATCACCCATTCTGATAGGAAGCAAGAACGAGGAAAAGCAACCAAAGTGTTTCTCGCTCACCCGTTGCTAGGTGTAATGAGATTTCAGGAGATTGCTTCTTTTCTTTTCATACTACCTTTTTAAACAAATTTTAATGAGTGGTTTAGATCCTGTCCAGAGCTTCAAAATCATTGCTGTAATCATGTTACACACACATTAACTTATTTTAGAACTAAACACTAGAATTAAAAGTAATTTTTGGGTAATTCTGAAGGTTTATTGATCAATATAAATATGTTATTACTCAATAAATAGTTATTTTTTTCATTTTTGGGACATTTTAATTACTTTTCTACTGGATAAATAGAATATTGAAAATATTTCAAAAATATCTTGACAATAAGTACACTCAAACNGAAGAAAATTTTAATGATAACAACAGAACAAACAATTCGAACGAATAACTGATTATATCATTAATTGAAAGGCAACAAACCTTTATATCAGCACTTATTATGTTTAAAATCTGAATATGACTGATCAAGAGTCAAAAATGCTTGTTTTTAAATAAATTAAGCTACGAAGATTCATCTCTTTTTGGAAAAAATAGCTTCATCGATGAAAGTTAGATATAGCGACATTGCAATGAGAAATGGGTCATTCTAAGTTAAGAGGTACTTTCAACGTCCATGAGAAAAAGTCACATTTTTTTCAAAAATTTGTTTAAAATAATGTTATCATCTCTCAAAACTCACTGTCTTCTTTATGGTCACTTAAATTCATTACTTAAATATACTTAATTTAGTCACAATAGTACTTCAAACATGAAAAACATATCTCCCCTGGCCTGTCACCTAACCGATTCTGTTCGTGTATCAGTAATTTTAAATACATAGAAATCTAATAAAATATCAAAATCATTCATTTTAATAAAATAGGATAAGTAAATTATTGTAATCTAACAAGTAAAATTATGTAATATTTCTTTTTCATAAAAAAATATTTACATCTAATTTGTCCTGCATTTTTCACGTCTCGTCCCCTGGCATTTTGTATTTGTCAAAAAACGATGTTTGTTTACTTTGTCGCGGGAAATTGTGACCTTGAACACATTTCATTGGACATGAAGTTAGCAGCAAGTATCAAGCAAGCTAACCACGCAGCCATTTTGTCAGTGATTTCGGTAACGTTATTCTGTGGGTACAGTTGTGAACGAGTGAAGTGATCTCTCCCCTGGTAAGTTTTATTTTGTGATTATTTATCTAAGAACTTCATTTTATTTGTATATTTACTGTTATTTGTGCATAGATTGTCATATTTATTTGTTAATTATGTGCGATAAATACTGTTACGATTATTTCAGTTTTCTAACAAAAAATTATCTCCCCTGTCATATCTCCCCTGCCTTTTAAGATTCCAGGGGAAAGACTTTATGTCCAGGGGATATATAAAAACGTCAGATCAGAGTATTTTTATGGATAACACGTAAACCGTTGTTCCGTAATTTAGTCAATATACATTTTTACTCTTTTAGCCTATCTCATACATTTAATTATGGTATAATATGTCTTTTACAGAATGTTAGCAAGAAAAAAAAATGACATATAAAGAACGCCTAGAAATAAAACATGTAGCAGAAAGATTAAGGTACCAATGCATAAAAAAATGACCCTAACAAATACGCACTACAAAAACTTAAAGAACGTGAAAAGTATCAAAAGGAGAAAGAAAAAGGAATTGTTAAGACTGTGAACCAAATGACCCCCCCCCCAAGAACAGCAAAAAGCTAGAAAATTGTGGAGAGAAAAAGCAAAGAATCGTAGATGTCTTTTAGCACTTCAAGTCATAAGTAATGAATCCTCAATCCTTCCTAGTTCGGATAATAAAGACCCACTGCTACTACCACCTCCTAAGAATGAAGATATTAACAGGCTGCTTGAAAATAAACAGTCTGATAATTTAATAATTATAAAATGAATAAATAAAGTTGGTTCTTAAAAAAAAGTCTATTTTCTTTCATAAAGCAATGTTAAAATCTCTCCCCTGTTCATAAAGTATCCTACCCTGTACACCTAGTCTCCCCCCTGTATTGAGTATCTCCCCTGGTCATTCATAAAACAAGATAAAATAAATAAATTGACTGGCCACCTTGCAGATATGCACAAATTAGTTGTTTCAATAAAAATGTTACATAATTCGATTAAATTTCTAACATTTATGTTGTGGCCATATCTCTTAACCAGTGAGTACCTCTTAACTTAGAATGACCCAAATATGGATTTATATCCTTATTGTATAGATACAAATACATTAACTACAAGTAACATTCTATGAATTCATTGAAAATATACAGAAAGTTTCAAAGAAGAAAGCAAAACTCTCTTTTGAATATTCATACATTTATCACTGTTGGAATATTTTACTGTTGGAATATGCATTCTAAAAGTAAAAGCAACATTTTAGAGAAAATCTTTGGCTTCCCTAATAAGCAAAATTTCTTTGTATATTTGTTAAGAATTCATTATAATTTTAAATGAATCCATGCAAAGACAGTCAAATGTAACTATAAAAGTTCTCTCCCAACACAGTTTACTTCTTTTTCATATCTAACAGGAAAAGTTGCTCTTCTCAAAAGGGCGATTTTAACTCTCGTAATTCTTAAAAATCTGTGCTGCAAACTGAAAGGGATAACAAATGAGCAATCAAAAATGCTCAAAAGGAAGAAAACACAAATAAAAAGAATAAGGCAAATATAATAAAGTGCCATAAATATACTTTAAAGCTGTTTATAAACAGTTCATACAAGAATGCAAGCACTAAAGGCATTCTCTATCTGCAACCATTCCAGAAGCCTTAATAGTTTCGCCTCGGTGCAAGTTACCATCGAGTACGGACAAACTGCAACCAAAACCAGCTCGGATCAGTTGCCAAAGAAAATACGGGCCCTAACAAGTCTACGGATCCTCAATCTTGATTCAATTCAAATATATCCAACCTCCTCCCACTCGAAACCCTCTAGAAACGGAATAATTTGTTGATGCAATCTTTCGAGTAGAATAAAGTGAGATAAATATAATTTTTTTACCCAAGTTAACTCGAAATTACAATCGCATAATTGACAGATTTCAGGCTGAAATTGACGAATTGTTTACTATAATCGAGTGATGTCAGATGCATTCTTTCGCTCTACGACCGAAATAAACCGATTAAAGTTCTATAACATAAACTATTATCGAAGAGACTTGAATAATCAGCCAAATATCTCGAAAATATCACCATGAAAGCATTAAGAATATTTCGTTTACTCGACCTCTTGTCACGTGTACCACAAAATGTAAGTATAACTTATATTTATGTGTTTAAATGTATATTTAGTAAAGGATATTTTGCCAAAGGCGAATCGATTCGTTGTTTTCCTTTAGTAATTAACTCGCTCCTCCTCTCTTTCATTAATTTTCTCAAATCGCTTTGAGTGGAGCTCTTTTTCGTGGATGTCGCCATCTTTGTTTGAACGACGTCACTTCCGCCACTCCATGGCTACGGCATCGAACGAATCCGTATTTCACTAATTTATTTATTAAAGTCTTATTTATAGTATTAAATCATCAAATTTTAGGTACAATTGCTATATTTAGTGTTATAAGTGACGGTCCCTTAAGTGGCGTTTGTATTTGATTTAAAATTTCCCATTAATTAATTGCCCGAGGTTAATACAAGATAATATGGTTTTAAAATTTCTGTTAAGGTAAATATATTAATAATAATCAATTATTTTTGAATATATTAGCATATTAAAGTTTAACGTAAGTCGTATTATTACGTTGATGATTTATGTGTTACGACACGCATTTTAAATTACGTAACAAAGAAAATGAACAGTTAAAGTTTGTAGACGGAATAATGCCGTAAAATCGTTGTAGTGATAACTATGAAAAGATTATATAAAAAATTCTATGGAGTGCCATTTAAAGTCTATTCTCTGCATAGATGTTTTTTCTCCTGTATTCTATTGGGCATCTTCCAATGTGGAAGATGATGCGAAAAGTTTGGTGCATACTAAATGATGTACTTGCTTCGATGTGTGGACAGAAAATGATTTTTGTGTCACGTTGTCATTTGCTCGACTACTGCTCGTGATTGACACAAACCAATGATCGACTGCATGCAAGTGTTGCTATATATCAAAGAAAAATATCCGATGAGTCGAATGCGCTCTTTGTCAAACAGACTGCCTTCGTTTTGTCAAGAGGATCTCGAGCCTGCAGGTAAATTTGCTCAGACGTCGAAGGAGACCAGTTTGCTCCGATGTTGACTAGTTTGCACCAGGCTTAAGAGATGCAATTCTTTAAAGCATTCTCCGATAGCTGTTTTTAGTTTTTCTGAATGTTAAGAGGCAACGTCGAGAAATATTTTCTTACAATTCCCCGAAATAAATTGTCCCGTATTGTTGAATCTATATTTCGAGCAACTCGAAAATGCTCCCCTAGTGCACACAAATTGTGGAAATGAGAGAAAAAAGAATAGAATGTAATTAGAATTGTAAAGCTTCCTTAAGTTTGTTGTAACTGTTCGTTGGTAATTACTTTTGATCTGTTTGTTCAGTTAATTGTTCCATTGTATACTGATGCACTCTTCAAATCCTGCCGGTGCCACCGATAAGCAGCACTGCCCATTGCACAATATAAGTAGTATATTATAATGCTGCACAGAAAGGATTGATAGATTTTATTTAGGGAATGCTAGAAATAATTTATTAGATATAATTAACCAGTAGAAAAGAGGTAATGTGTCTGAAAAGTTACAACATCCTTGTTTAGTATCCATTTGACAAGAATTCAACTCAAATTATCCAGAAATATAGACAGAAGCTGTTCATTAACTAGGCTTAGCTAAACCATTTATACTTGTATGTTTTGATATTGAAGGACACAAAGCAAAACAAAAAATATATATATTTTTTTTTTCTTTTTTATGAATTATCATATTTTATGGCATATAAGACATGGCTTTTGTTAAAATAATGGCTGTCTTATATGTGAAGTTGCATTCCCCGTTTGCTAATGAATTTTCTTGTATTTAGGAAAAATGCCTTCAGTAGGCTACAGGTAACTTCTCCCTAGGCCAACTCTTGAATTGTTTAATTAAACATTATTATTTCTTAAAAAAATATTTTACTAAACAATAAAAAATGTTCACCTTATGATGAAAAGTTCCACAATTGATGAAGTCTCTTTGACCAACCCTTCTCTATAGGCTACTGTTGGAGTTGGAGCTTTATCTTCTCCCTGTAGTCAATCTTTGTTGGAACTGTCCTACTCAATTTACATAATTATTTACAAATTTCTTAAAAATGTAAAAAACAGATCGACCGAATTTGAATACAATGGAAAAAATTTGGGGCAGAGTGCAAAATGCAGGATAGTTTAGATACGCTAAATACTTTTTCATAAATATTCTATGCCAAAACTGATGTGTATCTTATATGCCATAAAATACAGTAGTAATTATTTTCTATATACATTTTAATTTTAAAGAAAATTTTATTTTACAGGTATTTTGCCAACAATGAACAGCTAATCCAAAGAGTAAGTGTTACATAATTGTTTTCAGTAATCAGATATTTTCTTAAAAAATAATAATAATAAACAAATAGCTGTGCAATCAAAAATATAAATTATAAGAATATCCATTACAATTATAATGCTGATTCATATATCCTGATTATCTCATCTAATCTGTAACTATAGTGTATCATAAATATAAATTTAATACACACACGTAAGTGATTGTCGAGCCCAATTTATTAACATTAATTCAAATATCTAGTGGTTGGGCTACATTTGTAGTCCAAATGCAGCTTGTTGTNCGAACTTGCACCTCCAGGCAGACAGCCAAAGAGGACATCGCCAGGTAGCCACCCTCAGCGGACATCTCCATGCAGACCTCTACAGTCGGAGATCAACAGAGAGTACACCCACGTTGGACATAGCCGAGCAGACAGGAAGGGACACCAACTCCATACCGCCATACCATCCATCCCTGGGAAACTGCGATTAGGAACCGCCGAGCCCAGTGCGTCCTATCAATGCCCTATACTATGAGATTGAATCCCAGGAGGTAAATCCTCGACCAAATTGTGTCTCTCTCTCCAACACATCCCTCTTAGCGAGGTCTCTCTCATTCTTTAGTTTAGGATAGAACATAGATATAGAATAGAAACCTTTTATTATTCATATTTGTGTCATTTATGTTTTTTCCTTTGATATGTATAATCTCTTAATTGTTTATTAAATGTGTTGTTACTGTTCAACCTGTGTAGTTATTCGGACACCTTGTCACGACCTCACTACCCCTCCCACTCGATTTGCCCTCCTAAGCCATCTGACAAACTGAGAGCGGGTTTTACTAACCCGTGCAGAGTAAGTGGGATCATCCCTGTGGCCCCCTGCTACCTCACAATTGCACCTACTGGAGACCTGATAACCTGCATCTTATGGTAGAACATCATGTTAATTTATCAGAAGTTACAGTGTGGTGCAGCTTATCATCAAGAGGATTAATCGGATCAATCTTTTTTGATGCTACTGTGACTGGTCCCATTTACTCAAACTTCCTGTGACAGTCTGTCATGCCAACATTAGAGAGGACTTTGAAGATGAGGAGTTTTATTTTCAGCAAGATGGGGCACCCACACATTACTATCATGATGTTAGATCCTACCTTGATGAGATCTTGCCAAACAGGTGGATTGGACGAAGGGGTTTCATAGAACACTCTCTGCGTTCACCAGACCACACCACTAGACTTTTTCTATGGGGATACTTAAAAGACAAAGTCTATGCTATGAAACCTGCAACAGTTGCTGAATTGAGAGCAGCCACTGAACGAGAATGTACACAAATATCAAACAAAATGTTTTGTGATTCCATTGCTTTGCATTGTCAACAATGCCTGGACCAGAACGGATGTCAGTTTGAAAACAGGCATTGACAAAACAATTAAATAATGTCTATAGATTCTATTACATTTTGAAAATGAAATATATTTTAATAAACACTGACTTTATAATTATTTAAAGTCACCCTGTATAATTCAATTATAAAATACACATAGCTATTTCTCATAACAGTAAAAAGAGAGATCATGCCTATTTTGGATTGCAATTAATAATTAAAATTATTCTTGAAAAAGTTGACAGAATATTTTGTCAGTTCTTTGTTAAAATGTCAATAATTTTAATTTTTATGAAAACCTTATCTCTAGTTCCAAGACTTTTCTATCTTCATTTTTGATATTAAGAGTAAGATTAGTTTTCCTCCTAGTACTATAAATAAATAGAATATTATAATTAAAAACTGAAAATGTAATTAAAACAAAAAGGAAATATTACATATGTGTAATTCAGACATTGATTATAATTCAAATATGCAAGTCAAATTATTTTAATACACAATATAGAAATAATTAACACTAATCAAAATAAAAAACAAAGTAAACCTCAATAAAAAATAAAAGATATATATGTTTTCAAAACACTTTTATAGAAAATTTAAAAGTTTTGAATTTAATTACAATAGTAAAAATTTTAATATATAAATTATCAGGAATTAATAAAATATAATTCAGACACTTATTTAAGTACTCTTTTAAATTAGATTTTGAATAACAACAGATAATGACTATCAATTCTTGCCAATTAAATTATTGTTAAGAAGAACTATCATTAATCTTCGATTCAATTTGAAAAAATTTATTGCTAATATTTACCTCTTGCTCCTTTAAGGAAGACCTTGATATATCATACTTTCTATGAGTAAGAGAGGGCACTGTTTCTTCTTCTATGTCTTCTTCAGAAGATACAGACTTTCTTGAAGGTATTTCACTTAAACGTCTCTCTCTTAATTGTTGAAGCTGTTTTGGTAGTTCCGAACTATCAGATTTTAACGAAAAACTCCGCCTTGGAAGATGAGGTAATTTTATTTGGCCTGAAGTCAAATAATAAGAAAATCTCACTTTTGTTTAATTGATATTTTATATAACATTAAACTGACTTAATACTCTACTAACCTGCACGGGACATTAATTGTTTCAATTTAGTAGCAGTTTTACTTTTTGAATAAATATTGGAAGAATCATTAGTTGCATATGTTTCACTTATAATAAAGGAAACTGTAAGTTCCAACTGGCCTCTATATTTATCATTTTTTTTATCTTTCTTACTTTGCAACATGTACCATCTATTTATCAAATAATAACTTATTGGTTAATACAACAGAAATATGATTGATTTATACAATTATCAATTTTGTATTTAATGTTTAATAGCTGTATGTACCAAAAAATAAAAACTAAATTCATAATTTAGCCTTGTATTTTATATATTTATGTTAACTCAACTTATTTCTTAAGAAAAATAAGATTTCACTCATTACAATTAACTAAAAGGTATTGTACTTTTAATATTATATGATTTTATAATTTCTCATTTCTTCTAGAGAATTTTTATTTATACTATAACTAACTCTTATTTTAACTGAAGTTTCAATATTTTTTAATTGAAAAATTTATTAATAAATAAAAAGACGGTCAATTCCAAAAAATTTGATTAAAACTTTGGTCGATCACCTTTTATTTCCGTTAAAATTTTGTAATAGTTCGCCGCCAGGAGGAGAGTAAGGACGATTTACATTTAACAGCGCATTCCTTGAGTAAATATAAGGATCCAAGACTCCCGAATGGAAGAAGGATGACTAAAGACGTCGAAAGATCACCAGTTCCAATTTTTTACAACTTTTTTTACAAGTTTTAATGCTTAAATTGGATTATTTCTGTATTTTAAAGGACTGTTTATAGGCGACCGTGTAGCCTAAAAAGGAAGGTCCGGTCGCTGAAGTTTATTTTTAAATTTTAACGGAAATAAAAGGTGATTGACCAAAGTTTTAACCAAACATTTTTTGGAATTGACTGTCTTTTTATTTATTAGTTATTTTTTTCATTTTTGGGACATTTTAATTACTTTTCTACTGGATAAATAGAATATTGAAAATATTTCAAAAATATCTTGACAATAAGTACACTCAAACATATGCTTTTGAACTTGAAATGTGAATTTTAACTCATGTTTGGCATCAAAATTTATTCAAAGAACTAAATCAGTCCTATGATGTATGTGTGCTCTACATCTCACAATCTAGTACAGTGGGTGATCAGTTAATGAACATAATCCATTCCAAGACTTTGTTCGTTATCCGAATTGTTAGTTAACTGATTATCAAGTTACCATAGGTTTTTATGGGAATTTCGTTAATTTGTTCCGGAGACTCCAAAAAATAAAAAAAATATATACTTTTTTACTACGTATATATACTACGTTTATTCTTCTATGCATTTGTAGCTAGAACTGACAGTGTACTTGAAGAAGGCCGAAACCGTTCGTACTCGTGTACAAACGGCTAGAAATAAGTGAGGAAGGTTTTGTATTGATCACTATGTTTATTTATATGTAATAGTAAAAATACATATACACAAAGTTTGCATTTTTATTAGTCATGTTTTTTTTTTGTTTGTGGGGGTTAAAGAATCTGCCCAATGTCAATTGCTTTTCTCTTTTCTTCAGGATTTTTCAGAAGTAATTAATAGTATTGTATTTGTAGAGATCCCCAACTTCTTAACCTTATTCTGGTTTGGTTGCCCCTTGGATGATTGTTGTTCTGACATCCCTGCAGTTCTTCTGTCATCAGATTAGTTTCAGGTTCCATTATGAGCTCTAAAATGCTCTATTTCTCAGATGTGATTTTCATTACTCCATTAACAGCTTCAGACTTCTTGATATATCTTTCATAGCTAAGATTGTGCCTACTGTAGACCTGTTTAAGCCATACTGCCTAGCAACATCAGACATCTTGTGCCCACTTTCTACCTTGGCTATTATCTCTTACTTGGTTTCTATGGTGAGCACAGTTCTTGACACTCCTCTTTTTAAGCTCCATAATATTATCAGTTTCTTTTTAAATAAAAAGTTCAGAAAAGCACTTACAAAAATTCAGAGAACAGAAATCAACTAGCACAAAAAAATTATTTAAATGCAAGGCCCGGATGAAATTTGAAATTTGGTATTAAAACGTTAACAAATATCCAATGGGACAGTTAAACCCTCACCTTTCGTAAATAAACCTTGATGCAAAACTTAACGAGTGCCCGTCGGACAGTCTCGCAAAGACTATAAAAAATTATTTGTCAGAAAGATAAACTAAAAGCTGGAATTACAAGGGAGAGTTTCAAAATTTGGAGGAATACTATCCAATCAGTATCGGGTTGAGTGTTGATGTTGACGTCTCCTGTACTCCGAAAGGTTTCGAATTGTTACCTGGAGACAAGGGAAAATCAATCGGTATTCGTTATTTTCCATCACTTTTTTTACATTTGTTCAGTAAAGTGTTTGTTATCTGAATATGTGTTCATTGTCCGATCATAAAAATCTTTTGCGAAAGTGTTCGTTATCTGATTTGTTCGTTAACCGATCACCCACTGTATATTTGTTTTGTATATTTTACTTAATTAGAAGATGCAAAATAATAAACTGTTAAATGTACTCGACCAATTTTCTCTGTTTTCCTATGACTGCAACAAAAACATACCTGGATAAGAACAGATTGATCAACATGCACAGCTTATCTGAGCAGAGGCTTGCCAATATAATGCCTTGATGTATTAGAAGCTGGCACGACTAATTGTATTCAATTTATTTTCATTGCTTCCAAGTTTTTTTTGATTATAGGAATCTTCTACAGTTGTGGCAAAGTATGCTGTTTTTGAGCACAGTATTAATAATTCTTAACTAAGAGTATACCCTCTATGCTCTTTAAGTTGCTACTAGAGAAAATGGTGATAAAATATTGTTTTTTCACTCTGTTTTGTTCAATCTGTTAATTTCCACCATGTATTGTGCTCTTCTATCTTCTATTTAAGCAGACCACTAAAATATGTTGTTTTTTAATACAGTAGAGTGTCGTTTATCCGAATCAATTGGGGACTGGGGTTGTTCGGATAACTTATTTTTCAGATAACCAATTATGTACAAAAAAATATATTAACCTAACCCGTATTGAAATTTTTCTCTGTTGCGTGTCACTTCGCGTTGAATTTTCGTCGATGTGAAGCCTAATGTAAACTTTTTAAAATAATAATCGTGGCTATTGTATCGTTAAAAATTATTTCTTTATTTCTTACAAACAAAATAAATATATTGAAAAATATAAAAACCAAAAAATATATACTTTAGAAGATGATCTAGTATCAAAAACGTTCGATTCAGCACGACACACAGTCCTCAGAAAAACACCACACAAATGTGCCAGTGCTGCCAACTAAAAAACACACACCAACAAAAAAAATATTGGAGTAGCCCAAGATATAGCCAAAGATTGCAGCGCCACAGCACTAGCAAAAATTTAAAATTGCCGACTGGAATGCTTTCGGATAACCGATGTTTCAGATAACTGACTTTCGGATAAACGACGCTCTACTGTATATTTGTGTAGCTTATTATATAAGTTGTAACTTCACAGAAATAAAAATCCCAAGGAGTATCTGAAGATTCTCCTGGTGACACATGGTGTGTTGACTGACTGAGAGTCTTGACTAACCAAGTGTGAAGTGTACTTGAATGTTGAGAATTATATCAATCTCCGTTCTTTTGATCCAATTGGTTGATCTCCCTCATCCACACTTTCCGAGTGGCCGTTCCCTCATTACTAAGTGTAACAAGACTCTAACCTGGAATGTGGGAGAGGTCAAACTCAAAGCTGAATTTGATCTCCCAACTGGAGATGGTCAATCATAGGATGCCATTCCTTCTAAGATTTATGACTCTGCATTGCATTTAAACATAAACAAAAGAGTGTCTGGCTACAAATATTTTTTTGTTGCTGTTTAAAATAAACAAAATTTTTCTCTAAATTAACTGAATTTTTGCAAATTATGTGATGATTCAGACCTGTCTGGGCCTCACAATATGCTATTATACTCTGCAGTCATTAAGACAATAACATATATCATATTTGTCTTTCTAGGTAAAGAACTGTTTGAAATATTCAATTCTCGAAATTTTAGGGACATTTCTAATTTAAAGCAGACTGCGCAAAGGTTAAGAGATTTTCCAAAGAGATTAAAACATGAATTAAAGGTAAGTATATTTCATAAATTATTTAATATTAAAATAATTTCAAACCATTCTTCTGTAAGTGTACATAAGAATAAAAGGTAATGACAATAATGATATACAGGATGAGTCAGACGTCTCTATACAAAACACACACTACCATGAAGGAAGGCATTTGTGATCTGTATGCACATTTATTTTATTTATTATTATAAACTTATAAAATTTTAAACATTAGATGGATATAGCAGTGCTTTTTTTTCCCAGCTTCATCTTATAAAACAATAAAACACAAAAAATATATCATAGCTTATTGCCAGTGTAGAAAAACAAGACATATAATACAGCAGTTATTTATTGTGTCTTTGTCACAATGCTAGGCTGCAATTTTTAATCATATTTTTAATTTATTTAATTTAAAACATATGCTCTCCACCTCAAATTACTAGTGACTTGCCCCTGTACATCATACTTTTCCTTTAACAATAGAGTCATGCCAATCATCTATCTAACACCTTTCGGGGGAAAACATTTGAGTTGAAATAATGTTACTTCCGGTTTGCATCGGAAGTTCATATATAGTTAATTTGGTCCTCCTGCCCGTAAGGTTTCCCTAAGTGGTCTCGTCTTTCATCTATCTAACTGTGTTCTCGAGATTAAGAAAAGATGACAGACGGACAACAGTGGGATTTTATAGGTCTACAATTTTTTCAAATTGCAGCTCAATAAATAGGTTAAGTTGAAGGCCAGATGACCAAGCAGTTAATGTAGCAGCCTACCACTCTGGGGACTTGAGATCCAGTCCAGATGGGTAAAAAAAAACTCTAGGAATATTTTAGGGTGGTCCTTCCATTATGTCGGGCCTGTTTTTTACCATCTGGCCAAACCCATAATGGGCTTGTTAAAGAGTCCTTCTTATGTCCACGGGGCATAAGAGAGTTAAAAAAATAGGTAGTTTGAAAACATTTTTTAAAAAGATAACATTAATTTCAGTATACAAACAGTTCCAAAATTTTATACACCTTTTTTTGCCCATTCTTTAATCCATATTTTGTCAAAAGAAATTTGCATAATCTTCTACTAGAATTTAATTCCTTTATTAAAATATTCTTTTCATACACACATATCTTACTAGAAACATGAAAACAACAGCTATGTATAAATTTATAAAGAACAGTTGTGTAGATTTTACGACAATAAATGAACTGTATTAGTTTACAATATGTCAAAATGATGAGACTCAGAATTTAAGTGAATTTATCTAGTTAGCATAATTTGCAATTTACTTAGTAAACACTTGGGGGTGGCTTGTCAAAATTCAATAGCACATTACATTTTTGACTACCATAAAGGGTAGTTATATATAATTTTTTACTCTTATCAACTGTTAGTAATCATTAGAGCTACCAAACCTTACTTATGAACTGAGCAAATTTAGAGTACACAATTTGTGATTTTTTTTCGAGTTTCAATAAGACAGATTTGTTAACATTGTCCATACAATTGTAGTTTGTGATATACAAGCAAACCTTTGCCTATGTATGTAAATTGTCAAATCACTTGTAGTTTATCGTATTGAATTTCTACAATACTAGTGCCATATGTTTTATTTTGCTATTTTGAAGGTCCTCTCTAATAAAATTTGTTTTTGCAGGAAGGATTTCGACAGGCAAATGAAGAACAGAAGAAAGGAAAACAATGATGTGATGCCCTGTAGGTGTGGGGTAAGTAAAGTCCCGTCAAATTTTCCATCAGAAAGAAGTTGTCCAAACCGACTTTTTCTTGTCGGGAGGAAGAGAAGCTGAGTTTTGGCCCATTTTTCCACTTTTAAGAATGTGTCGGGACACAGATAAAGTTGGTTTTCAGCATCCCAAGAACAGTTTGTCTGAGAACTATCATTTGTACAATAAAAGTTGAAAGTTGAAAAATATTGGTTAATGCATTTTTCAAACTAACCAAAGTCAAAACAATTAAATTAAAAACAAAACACACAAGAATTCCTAATTAAATAGCATTTAAATTTGACTCTGTCATGTTGACACTAAGAGGGCCTTTCTCTGCAACCATTGTGAGTTCAGCAAGCCCCAAGATGGATGTCAACAGACCACTCATGAAAAATTCCTAGGGTTCTCTACCCAGATTCAATCCCACATTCCCCAAAGCAGTAAGCTGATGCCTTTTCAGCCATCCAGCTTTATTTTATTTTAAACTTCTTAATCATGAATAAATTGAATTGCATATGTACTGTACAACGGGGTAAAAAGCATTTTTATTTAGGTTATGCCAGGTGGAAATTTACAGGTGACACGCAATTCAGATTTTCACCTATCAATTAATTTGCTTTTTACAGTCATATATTTAGGATTTTAAAATAATTTTCATTTTATCATCATTGTTTATTTTCCTCATTGCAACACCTGCCCATATACCATATTTATGAAGGTTTATGAGAGCATTAGTGCAAAGAATTAGATCATAGATATTTCAATGAGTTTTCCTGTGTTATCAATGTTAAATAAGATAATCAATCTTGTCAGTTCATGTTTTCATTCCCAGACAAACATGGTGTAGATTTTGTAATTTTATCAAAATGCCCAAGGAGCATTGATCAAATATCAAGAGGTTGGGAGTGTAGCAGGTACCAGAAGAGATGTAGAATTTTTGACTTTCCTTGTAATAGAAACATTTCTGCTGTTCTTATGGAATGACAGAAATGTTTCTATTATTGGTTTGGTGCTTTTCATGTTTTATCTATGTATTTGTTTTACTCTTCTTTTTTTCAAACTATTTGGCAACAATTTGTCCATGCTTCTATCCACAATCCTTTATGTTTTCCGATATTCTGGGAACCTCTTTAAATTTGTCGATAATCAGTTTAACCATCTTAATGCCATCTATGTCTACTAGGATGAGTTTCACATCATCAGTGTTTATTAATATATATGATTTCATTCACAGGGTTGTTTGGGAGTTAGTATCTTTTAATTCACTGACAATTAGTTATTTATCAGAAACTTATTGAAAATAGGAATACTGATTGTGAGAGTCCTTGCCATACCGAACCATTTGGGTAATGGCTTTCCAGCATTGGCTTGATGGTAACTTGCACCCGAGACAAAGCAGATTTTTGCTGCTTCTATTTCCAGAAAGATTGCTAACACTTTTAGTTCTGGCACTCTTGTATGAACTATTCATAAACTTTAAAACACATTTATTTGTATTCAGCTTATTTATTTATTCTCTTTTTGCCACTCGAGGCAGTCACCTGCCTGTTAACCTCACCCATCAAGCTGGCCCTGCAGCCATCAATGAGGCTGTTGTTGTTGAGTTATTTGGCTAGTAGTATTTTGATAACATGACATTATCTATTTTAGAAAATTTTACCCTACTTTGGTAATCCGTAATCTGTTGATAATCCATGGGTATATATGACCAATATTATTGAAAGCTGCATACAGATCAATTCATAGAAAGCAACAAAGGGCATAGTTTTGATCTGTTATCTTGTAGGAAAGTATTTGAATGTATAGGTCATTCTCTAATGCCACAGATTTGCTAATAATTGGTGAAATCTGGAATCGCAGTCTCGCTTCTAAAACTTTTAATACAATCAATATTGAGGATACGGGTCTCTGATTCACGATTTTCTCAAAATCATCATTATTAGTTTTTGTTATTAAGGTTACAAGTTCCTAGCCATTGCTAATGAATACTTGTAAGCAGATCTTTCACAAAAGTATTATAGAACCCTTCAGTGTCGATGGACAAGCATTTAAGTCAGCAACCTGCCACTCCGGAGGATTCGGGATCAAATCCAGACGGGTCAAAAAACCCCGGAATTTATCGGGGTGGGCCCAGCCAAAGCCATAATGGACTTGCCAAAAAAAGGCCCTCTTAGTGCCAAAGTGTGGAAAGAGTTTAAAAAGTATTTATAATTATTATTCAAATAGTTTAACTTTTGAGTCAGTCACCGAACATTTGAATTTTGTTTCTGCGCGCGACAGTAGCCAATTAGAACGCTAGTTTGCGAACGTCATCGAAACGTCATATTTTTCAAACAGTATGGTGAAAAAGACAGGGCGTAGCATAATCAAATTAAGAACACAAAAGTGACAAACAATTACAGCAAAAAAACATGTTTTGGAGCTATAAACGTCGTGTGTTATTTAAACTAGTTTCAAGTTTATAGCGACAAGTTTTTCAATCATTCTAAATATGAAACAGATACTGGTTCTCGTCTTGTAATACTTTCTTGCAATACGTTATCAATTCTTTCTTAATTATATCAAACGTGTTCTCTCGGTTTCTCTGTAATAGCTTTTAGAATAGATTATCTTAGAATTTATTCTGTATTTTTATTGCAAAAAAAATATAATAAATAAATCGGCCTAACGATCGTTAAAAGATAAATAGTAGAGGTTTTTTTAGTAGCCATAAACTGAAACTACCGATTAGGGCGCCTCTAGCGTCAATTCCTAATATAATTTCGAATTCAAGATATTTATTTACAGTATTCGCAATTACGTAACGAAGACCTTTGTGTCGTTGAATACAGAATTCAATTTATATTTATTATTAATATTTATGAATAAAATACAATCATACGTTTTCGTCTTCCATTTACATCTGATGCGTTTATAATAATATCCAGTTTTTCTGTCATAGACACCGAATGATTCACGTTAATACCAAAGTTGAAAACGTGAATAACTGGAAATCGACCGTAAACAGCGTTAACAATACCGGTTATTATTTTTAATTAAATACTTGAATTTCGAGATTTAAAAAGAAAAAACATTATCATAATCATCATGATAACAGCGCCACATGTCGTGTGGAGCCACGATCGTCTATGCCGATCATGGCGCCACACGACGGAATTCTAAAGTTATAAACTAGTCAAACGACACGAAGTGAATTATTACATAAAAGGATATATTAATGCTTCGGTTAGGGTTATAAATATTAATAAAAGTCAGTCGTTACGATTACGTCATTTGAATAATGGCGGATACCTCCGGAAAAATTAAACGTGGTCTTTCCAGTTCTGACCGACCCTACCCCGATATTACGTAATCACTTCGGATACGCGCTTTCGAGCGCCGTATTTGACCCCGCTTTTACGCCCTATCGAACACTACATCTTCGATACAGGCAGTCCCGAATTGCGTAATTAAACTGAAGAACGGATATATAACGTCACGAGTATTCGACATGAAATATTTCTTTAATTAATGTGTCGAGTTATTGTTAAAGCGTATCTCATTCTGCCTTTCGGACCACGAGATACTAGAATCGTCTTGCTCATGCTCTTTCACAAAATCCGTTTGTGATGACGAAACAACCGTTGTATCGTCACACGAAAGGCTTGGTCGTCCTCTCATAGAAAATCTATAGTATTAGCGTTTCGTAATACTTCGTTATAGAAACTGCTACCGCTCTGTGGGACTCGGGTTCGAATCCGGACGGGTCGATAAGTACCCGGGAATTTTTCGGGAGGTGGTCCGTCCGGATACGTCAGACACCGTCCCTCACCACCCGGCCGTCCCGTTATGGGCATGGCCGAATCCACAATGGGCTTGCTAAAAGAGGCCCCTTTAGTGCCCACAGGGCGGAGAGTTAAAAAAGAAAAAAAATCTTTAAGAGAAAGTGCGGGTGCGAGCACGTTTAAAATTTCCCCCTCCTCTTACGAGAGATCTTCGACCGATTCCTCCTCAGTTCTTTAACCCGTGAATTTGTCACGCCACGTAGTGTCGTAACAAACCGCGCTTTAATATCCCTTTCCGGTGCACGCGCTAATCGATCGGGTCTTTTCCGGTGGGGAATTAATAATAAAGCACCGTAATAGGCGAGTAACAAAAGCATTTGTTTCAGCCCTCTCGTGTTTATCGCCCGTAGCGCTTTGTTTTCTTTTGTCGTTTAGAGTTATTTTTGAATTACTTTAAAATATTGCTCGACTAGCAGTTGAGCCCGGCGTTGCTCAGGCAAGTAAGTTAATTCTCATTATAATGGAGAATTAACTTACTTGTATAAGTTACTTATTATTATTATCAACCCATCTTGATTATATTACAAGATTAGAACCCGCGTTGAATTCGGCATTTGTTTTCCCTCCTGTGCGGGGGAAATTCGGATTTATCGCTGGTTTACAAAATGGCGATTCCGCTGACCCGTTCTACATAATAACGAGGTCAACCCGAATACGTAATACAAATATTGTCTGGATGTTTAGAATAGCTTGAAGATACGTCACGTGTTTTGTCCTCGTTCTCTAGAATGCGACAGATCTTTACACGTAACGACGTATAGATGAGCGCGAGCTCGACCAGTCTTATTTTTGTTATGATGCGAAGATCACATGGCGGCACTGCTGCGTCACATATCTACGTAACGCAGCAACGCCGCCGCGTACGATGCAACAGCGCCGTCGTGTGGGCATTTCTGAAATCTAGGTACACAATAAGGGGTTACGAATGGGTCGCCCAATGTTTGTGTATATATATTTATGCGCGTGTTACGCGTACTCATAAACGAAAATATTCCGATCTAATAAAAAAGATAAGAACCACGTAACTTTTATTGGTGTTAAAAAACTGTACAATGCGGGTTAGCGGCGAGGGGAGGGCGGAGGGGAGGAGGGGCCCCGCCACCGCCTCCGATCGCCGAGAAGCGATCCTCCACCGCGTAGCTGCCGGAGGGCTCTCCTTTCGGTGACTAGAGCTGCGAAGAGCGGGGCCTCGTCCGCCCTTCTCCGGAAGTTAGTGGCTTCCACCGAGGCCTTTCGTCGGTCCCTTTTTCGTCGTCGTTAGTGGGTCGGTTCCGGAAGTCCCAAGAGTCGATAAATTAGGGGGAGTGGACGTCCGACAGGGCGCTTCAGTCGCGGCCAAAAGCGCGGTTGGAGTAGGGCCCGGAGTAGATGGAGCTGCCGGCTGTGCTGGTACCCTTCCTCCTCCGGCGGCGGTGGAGGATGCAGGCCACCAGCAACAACACGGCCAACACCAGAAGCACCCCGGCGATAGCGATCCCGATGGCAAACTTGCGGGTGGAGACGCAGAAGTCGTCCTCGTCGGTCAGGGGTCGTGCCTTCTCCTCTTCCTCTTCTATAGAAGGAAGTGACGTCAGAGGGAGCGGAGACATTTCGAAAATAAATCAAATTAAAATGACACTTACCCGCCTCCTTTTGGCTGTCAGTGTCCTCGTCCACGTACAGACCCGAATACACTTCAACGTTCAGGTATTTGGGGTCTTCCTGTTCCCGGATCAGCTCGCGAAGACTTCCGGTCTCTTCGATCCGATCGGCGCTCCGCCTGCTCCTACCGAACACCTGGTCCTCGTCGCAATTCGGGGGCTGCCCGATGGGAAATTCAATTGTTAAGCTCATGCCTGCTCGCGTCTAGTCTATGGCAAACGTCGCCGAATTTTAGGATGTTGGGGAAGGATTAGAGAAAGACGGACTCACCAGCTGGCGGCATCCCCCGGTCTTCTTGTGGCAGAGCTTGACGTTGCATTGATAATAGACGGAGGGGGTGTAGGGAAACTTGTGAGCCGGAAATGTCACGGAAGCCCTCGTTAGATTCCCATCGTAGTGGAAGGCCCCCATCAACTCTTCGTCTACGGGACACCTGCACAGAAGAAAAATGAGGTCACGAAATGGGAGGAGAGGGGGAAAGCGCGCGCGACGACCTCGTTCTTACCCTTCGTTGTTGACGAGAGGTTGCTCCGCACGTTCTAGTCCGTCTCTGACGACGCAGTTGGTCACCTTCATCCCGTATTCGTCTGAAAAGAAAGACACACCCGTCTTCAATTAAACCGATCCTTCTCGCTCGAAACGAGAAGAAATCGCGTAAAAGTTGTTGAATTTATTCGAAGACCACCTCCCGAAATAACGACATTGAGATGACGTAGATTTCATCGTGAAATACTTGTAGAAAACGGAAAGATCTTGCTGTCCAGTCGGGCATTCGGACCTAATTAAGGGAGGTCTATTTATGTAAAGTAGAAACGATGACAAATCGTTATATTGGGGTGTTAGGATTACCATTCTGTGCCAGGACGTTATAAACTAGCAATTACGCAATAGTAGTAGCGGTGTAGGAGTCACGAAGCACTTACCAGGTATACAGTGTATACGTTACTCGTAGTTCGTGCGAAGTATATTGTACAGTGACAGGGTTAGTCACCGAGTACTTGACAAGTACCTGGCTAGGTATTGTGTACTTTACTTAAGAACGAAGTGCTGTATAATGTTCTTCGCTTGGGAAAATAAACAGGTAAATACAGGTGAGGTTTTAGTATATAATTTAAAGAAGGCAGAGCGAAAAAGGAGACAAAGGACCTCATATAAAACTAAAGATTTGTGCTGCCAGAAGCTTGTATACTTTTCTATAAAGAAAAAAAAATGTTACGGACCAAACTTAAACGTCTGATACACAAGTTAAAACTACCGACCGTCACCTTTCTAACAACTGAGACATCACAGAAAGATTTCATCCTACAGTGAGTGGGGAGTCCACAATTTCTCAAGACGTGAAAACACAAGCAATTACAACATGTAGTGTTGGGTATTTTGATAAGAATTACGCGTGTATACTTCATCAATTAGCCCATGCCGAATTTGAAACCAATATTTTTATTAATGGATTAAAAAATTATATAAAATGCACTGTGGACTGTACACTGAACTGTACTTAGGCAAGGACTCGCTGTACAGTTGCTTCATAGGGTTAAACGTGTCTTGTCTCCTACATCGGGATTATCCGTATGTCGTCATCATCTTTCCTCTAAACTGCGCAGCTGCCTTCGGCTCTCCCACCTGTCTCGGTCAGTTTGATGTCGCCACATCTTCTCGGAACACCTGGAGTCCCCTAAATAATTCAATCGCTTCTAGGCGTTGTGACACATCTGCCCTGAGTTAGAAGGAGCACCGATCGCAATGTGACGATACAAAGGATTATTCTACCCAAATTTAAATGAAATTTAGGGTGCAAAGCGTTTCTCCTTTTGCTGCTGTGTTTAATTTTCTAGCTGATTGTTTTCTTTTGTTTCTGGAAGAGGTTAAAAACTCACCACGCTTCACTCCGCGAACTGTTCGTAATTAATATTTAATTAGCCAAGAGACCGTTAGAAGACCCCGAGGGAGACATTTTTCCGTTAACTGAAGAATCACGTGACGATTTCTCCCTCCGAGGAATCGTGGCATAAAATCGCAAAGTCGCTTGGAGGGAGAAATCGTCGCTTGACTCTTCTTTCAGTTTCCTCCGCCGAAAACGGCAATTTTTTTGCGGATGCCAATGCCGGAAACGTGAAGAGAACGACCCGCTTATATCGTCGTTCGTCTAGCGAATGTTTAGTGGTGCCCTGACGATAATCATCGCGGCGCGAAGGTTGACGCGACGCGACGCCCTAGTCTTCGCGTGGGACTATTCACCGAGCGAGTTCGCGTCGCTGCTCACATATTCGAGACGAGGCATCCCGAATTAGAGGAAGAGAAAGAGGCACTCACCTTGGGGTGGGAGGGACACCACCAGAGTCAATCTGTCTCCTATTTTGGCGCGATCGGCCACCTTCTCCTCCGACTGCCCTCGGAAGATCTTCATGCCGCACACCGGAAGGGCGCCCGATCCGGCCAAGGAGATTGGATCGGGGGTCCTGCGGGTAAAAATACAAAGACATTAAAAGAGGCGAGCGCGAGACGGACCCCTTGACGGTCCGACGACGCGGGAAGAAGCGAACGGCGCATCTAATTCCCTAATAACCGGAAGGGGGAGGGAGTGTCTTCCTCGCCCTTCTCCAACTCGGGGTCGACGAACGTCGCGCGCTTTATTAAGTCGCTTGACGCTCCCTTACTAATAAAATTATTCATTACTAATTAGACACACGAAAGTGTCAAAAATACAACGAGGAACGAACTTTCTGGACTTAACGATATTTCCCTGGTGTAAAGTATCAATCAAGTATCATGGAGGAGGATCGACGGACCCGAGACACTTCCATTCGTAGAGATACTCGAAGTGCATCGAACCAGAATTCAGAGGATAGATTGATAGAATAAAGCAACGCAATATACGGGCAATCTGTCAAGAGGGGGTTGCATCCCGGGAGGACTTCCCATGGGAAATTGGATCCTATTTAGATGTTAGAAACATGAAGAGCCAAGGGAGTGCTTGTCGGGAGGACTTTCTATGGGAAACTTGACTCCTATTTAGGTGTTAGAAACGTGAAGTAAACCCCGGGAAACTCGGCTAGCCCGTTGTTGAGGCACGAGCCCGCGACCAACTCTAATAGTGTTCGGTGGTTTCATCCATTGAGCCAATGGTGGGGCCATTTTTCGGTGTGAAATGTTTCTTAGAGACGTACAAAGTGCTCACCCTGTGGTCAAACTTTGGGTTAAGATCGAGATTTATAGGTTCTATATTGATTGTATATAGCACTTTAATCGGCGGTGTTCGTTTATACTTTTTACTTTTGGATAAATCGTAATATGTGACGTAATAATGACGTAAAGTGGTGATAATGGCAGAACTTTTGGGTTTTCATTAAATTTCTCCTCTTCCCAATTTTTTCCCTACAAGTTAAATTCGGTTGATACCGGTGGCGCTTTACACTGCTAATTTTCCTTTAAGTTCACCTTAAATACGAGAGTAAAGACGAAGACCATATTCGGTCCTGATCTCCGAAAAACTTCATCCAGAGATCAGGACCGAGGAAACTCGATCAACAGGGGTCTCAGTATTGAGAGATATTTTGAAAATTGAAATTTAGTAACACCGAACAGGATTAATTTCGTAGAGAATGTGAACTGTGGGTCCCTGTCGTTTGTATTGTTAAATACGGTGCCATACAACTTATATGAGAACTGTGTTATTCTTGGTTTAGATCATTAGGGCATACCCTCCCCTCAATCATTAACTCGGTTGATGGAGTTTGAACCGTATTCTGTTCTAGTATCTGGAGGATTTATAGTTTAATTTCCAGACACCAGAACAGAATGTAAAAAAAGATCGAGGGGTTCGGAGAAGCGCGCGCCCCCGGTTCAATCCAAGTATAGTAATGGATGATCGCGTCCCGACGCCCACCTATTTCTTTAAACTACCCCGACCGGTATTTCTCCCGGAAACCCTGTCGCAAACCCGCCTTCCCACACCACTCGCCCACCATCCAAAGGGTTTTTACCTGTTTTCGAAACGGAAAGTTCACACTCGACCTCCAAGCATTTCTCGCGTTTTTCCACCGCGTGGCTTTTCCCTTCCGGTTTCGCCCCCTCCCTTCCGTCGAGGGCCGAGACCCGGATCGGACCCGACTGGAAGGAAGACCTCCCACCCGTCACCTTTCCATTTTAGGTAAGAACCCACCTGAAGGTGGCGGAAACCCACGCGCCGCCGCGTCGCTTAGCAACGGCGCCGCCATCTCCCGATAAGGACACTTGACGCCTCCGCCCGTCGACGCGACCCCCCCACTCTCGATGACGTTTGCGCGTATCTAGGCGCCACCAAGAAAGGGATTCACGCGCAGCTCGTACTCACCCCACTTCCCGCTGCCAGCCCAGAGTTTCCTTCCGGTTTTCGTACTTGCATCGGACGTGAAAGCCCTTTCCCAGGCCGGTGACAAGTTTCGGGTGAGGCTGGACCACGATGGTATTGAAGTACTCCACGCCGTCGCCCTGGAAACGTGCGAGACGGGATGAGGAACGGAAAGAGAAAGAGAACGGAAGGAAAGGGGGAGATACTAACCGAATCCGAGCTCATAGTGTTGCAGGAATGCAGGGGCAGTCGGTACTCCACTCTAGGGCCCGCGTGCGAGTATTCCGTCAAACAGGAGGAGTTCTCCGCCAGTCCACGGGGGTAGACCATGCCGTTGAAGTCGCGGTCGGTGGCGATGGACACGCGGATGTCGCCGCTCCGACACACCACAGAAACGTCCTCCACCTTAGCCGCATCTGAAAAATAAAATAAATGGAGGCAATTCATTTACCGGGAAAAGCGCGCCGAATATCGTCTCTCCCTCCACCGACTGCTTCCGACGCGTCGCGCGCTCACTTTCTCCCCTCTCGACCGTTCCGCCAAGGAACGGAGCCTTTCCTGTACGTCAATCCCGAATCTCATCGCGTTGTCGCCCGAGCTCGCGAAGGTGCCGAATTCGCCCGTTTCTAGTCTCGGGACAAATCCAGAAAGCCAAACTAAAGCAGAGATTTGCGAATTCTGGCTCCGGAAACGGCGCGACGCGACGCGACGAGAGAGGCGAGAGGAAAAACGGAGCGGGTGCGAAATCCGTCGGCCGTCGAGTCGGGCGGAAAGAAGGGAGAGAGAACCAAAACAAGGGACTTACCTAGAGTGTTGAGGGTGGCCGTCGAGCGCCGGATAATCCACGACACCTGAAAGGTAAAGCTACGTTTAGAGGGACGGCCGAGGGGCGCCGACGGACGACGCGGGTACTCACCAGCAGGCACAGCAACAGACGCTCCATGCCGAGCCGAAACCGAAGACGCAATGTAAGTAGGTCGCGGCGCGGATCGACCCCGATCCGCCGACGGGACGCCCCCTCCCTACCCGTCGGACCGGTCGAAAACGAGAATTCTCGTCCTCGACCGGGTTACGCTTCGCGCGCCGCCGACGAAGCGGAGAGTTCTCTCGACGCCGCGGCGCACGCGCTCCGGACGGCCGGGGGGATCGTCGCGGCCGAACCGGTCCCGGCGCGTGGGAGAGCGGGTCGAGGACGCCCGGCGGAATAGATACCCGTGGCTTTTACCGGAAACGGGCGGAGGGATGCTCCGCCCCTTCCGCTCGTCCCCCGGAAGTCGGGAAATTCGGCATCGGACCGGTTTTACGCCTGAACCCCCAGGCGTCTAGTTCCACCGCGGCTCGATAGGGGGCGTCTAGACACGTAGTCGTGCCCGCCGCGTGATTTATAGGCGCCAAATACGAAACGCCCGGACGAAATTGCATACGAATGTGGCTTTTGGGGAAATAGCGGGAGATTTCCCTGGCCTATTAGCCACCCCACCGCACAATACAGCAATATTAAAGGAGAAAATCGCGAACGAATATGAAAGCGATATCGCGTCAAGACGTTCGGCGTTTCGAATCCGACAGGTGTGCAGAGCGGAAGACCACCCCTCCTTTTACAAGCGGAAGCGGTGTTAAAACGCGATGGGCCTCTCGACCACCTACGTTGACTCTTCCGCAAATTTATTCGACGTTTATTTAATTGCCAAAGGCGTGTTCGACCATTTTCTTCCACGGAAACGGGGGGGTAGAACATCCTGGCGTTCGACGACCCGCGCCCACGTACCCCCGCCGACGGGGCAACCTTCGGATTTTACAAATAAGTCGAAGACCCGGACGAGAAAACCGAAACGAGAACAGTGCCGGCGCCGTTTTCAATTAACGCCGGCAGGTGTCGCGACGATCTTCCCAGTTGACATTCCCGGACCGGCGCGGAATTCTCGGAAGAAATTCCGGGCGCGATTTCTTGCTGGCAGAAACAAAATCGTTATATCGGGAATTATTTATTTATTTAATATTAAAACAGATGATACAGAACGGAGGTTCTCACGAAGAACCAAAGACTTCTTCCTTGGTGGGCAGTGGCTTGATCTGAGGTCCGATGCGAGTCCAGATGAAGCAGTTTTCGGGTTTCAAGGGAACCGTGGGGTAAGGGCTGTTCCTCGACTTGAAGTATTCCGAGGGGGCGTGGCAGACGAATTCGGCGCAGTCCAACTTTCTTGGAATGTCTTCTTCGGGACCTGCGAATCGCGAATGGTTAGTACTTGTCTTTAGAACAGCGACCAATAAGAGCCCAATTGCTTGTATGTACTAACGATTGGCCTTAAATGTTAAAACAATGCGAATGCTACGCAACTGCGCACGCACGCTTCGAATGGGGAATACTCCAAAACACTTTGAAAAACTGGACTGGTGGAATATTGAAACGAAACACATGACGATCTGCCTCCCCCCATCCCTCCCGGTAGGACTTCTTAAAGGAAACGGGACCCGTTTAGATGAAGAGAACACAAGAAACTCAAAGTTGACAAGTAACCAAAGAGGATCAAACCCGCGACTGGTATTTGGTGGTTTTGTCCATGCTGCCAATGGTGGGCTCGAAAAAATAAGACGGCCATTTTAGGGTATGAATTGCTCTATTTAATCTTACACTTGAGTATTTTTATTCAAATTTATGAGAAATTTAAATACTGACCCTATATAACTTAGGAAAAATGGAGAGCCAACAAGTGCAGTGTTAACAGAAAAAGTACCATCAATGTCAAGAATTGGTATCACAATCAAGTGACAAAGATCCTATCTGTGAAGGGCATACGAGAAATTTGTAATAATAATAATAATGAAATACCAAATGCAAAAAGGGGAAATGTACAAAAAAAAAATCTGCAACACTACTCGGTTTAAATCGATGCCTTTTTATGACATGTATCTAATGTCGACTTGTTTCGTGGGAACATAATGTGACTAAGGGAGACCCAATGGTGTGAGACTAAAGGACTGGATCATTTACACAATACAAAAACCTAGATGAAGGTAAAATTGTTGGAAGTTTCCCTTTAAGTTTGTCTAAAGCATTCCCATCCACTAACCATAATTGATTCACAAACTAGCTAGTTACCCATAGGTGCACGTTTTTACATTGGATCAGTTTTCATCTTACCTAAACTATAGGTTTATGTATTTTAAAAATCGATGACACATTTTCCCATGTAATACTGCAATACGGAGCCCTGAGCATCAGGACTCCATATTGGGGTCCTTATTGTTAAATGTTTATACCAATGACATGTAAAAACAAACTTTCAAAATTATTTCCTTGTTATGTATGCAGATGATATAATTCCAGAGGATGAGAAAATCATATCATCCTCCAGAAATCTGTGTGTGGAATTAAATCTAGGCTTACACTACTTGTCAAACTACTTAAATCATCACCAACTATATCATGCATATTATAATTCTAAATACAATAAACATATTAAATTTTATTTAAGCAGTCGTAACTTAACTATCCTATACCTCGGTTTATCTGTTGACAATTCACTAATACGGAAAGACTGCTTTCAAAAGTACGTACCAAACTAGCTCCTTTCATTGGTAATATCAATAGTGTAAACTGGTATCTTGCATTCAATAATAAAGTTATATATCTCTACTATTCGGTCACAGACAAAGTATGCTATAGAACTTTGGAATACTGCCTCCACTTATCTATTCGATAAGTTACGGATGTTGACGAATCGGTTCCTTAGGGTCACCTTAGGATTAAAACATGATGACTCAATCTCTCAACACTATGGATCATTAAAGATGCGCACCGTTCAGTTAGTTTATGTAAAATCTGTTAATGTTTTTTGTTTCTGTAGTAGGTGCTGAAAAAGCTTTTGCTATGCTCATGCATCTAGCAGGAGCATAGCAATTCTATATTGTTGCAAGCAGAGTTCTATATTGTAACAAGATAAATAATGGGACTAAAGTGGCTTACTGTACTTTGTTTTGCTGTTAGTTTTGTTTGGTTCACCAAAATTTAACATAATAATGCCAAAAGCCATATGTGTACATCAAACATAACAATTTCTAACAATTAATAAAAAAAAAATAACTAACTACTAAAATGCTCCCAGCCTCAAATAAGAGAAATTATCTTTGGTGAGTGGTGAGTGCATCATCTGACTTACGCTTGTTTATAAATTACAATATAATACCAAATGTGATCCTTAATGTAGATTTCATTTAAAGTAAAAGATGACTTTAAACTAGTGTTGTAACGAATAGTATATTCGGCCTCAGGCCGAATACCGAATATTCGGGCAGGATTGTGGCCGAATAGCCGAATATTCGGCCAAACTATTCGGCTTGATTAACGCACGTACGAAAATTGGTGCGCAAACCGCATTATGGCAAGGCTCTCTATTGGCCCGCTGTCACTACGCTTCGCCAATCGCGTTAATTCTTGGCAGTTGTAGCGGACAGACAAGAGTGTCATGGAAGTATGTGATAAATGATGATATCAAATGTGGATACGAAATGACCTACACGTGTAAATAACGGAAAAAGAACAGAGAAGGATTGCGAAGTGAAAATGTGAAAATAAATAAGAAATTGAGTTGATAACATAATCAAACAAGTCGAGGCAGCTTATTGGCACGAAATTCGCGGCCGTCAATGCCAAACAATTGTTGTCATAGACTTCGGAAAGCTAAATGCTTGTAATAAAAGTCACTTAACGTGCATGGGCGAAAGCCTGGGGCCGTTCGGGCTATCAAGCTGTCTCGAATCTGTGAAATCATAACTGTGACTTATACCGACATCCTATCTGTCCTTTTTCTCCGTTATCACCAGGCTATGAGTCACGTAATTGTAAAATGGGAACTCTACGACAGAAAAGTGACGAATTGAAAGTATCGTGAACGCGTATTATGACGTATGCACAGGCATACGTGGATTAGAGCGATAGAGGAAAGAGAAAGGGAAAAGCAAAGACGAGCGCTTAAAAAGAAGGATAGGCAGGGTCAGACCCTCAGATGTGCGAGGATTCTCCAATGATATGCGTGTACTTTTGCTGATCTTTGTAATTATAAATTGTGAATACATGTGACTAATATTATTTTCTTTTTTATTTTGTGCATGTTACAAGTAATAAATAAATATAAACAAACAACACTAACTCGATAACATTAAATCTAAATACCAAAATGATTAATTTACTGTGTTTTTGTTATTTATTACTCCTGCTTTTAGGTATTCGGTATTCGGCCGAATAGTGAAAAATAGGCCGAATACCGAATAGTAACCGAATATTCGTTACATCACTACTTTAAACTATTTTCTTTCTCTAATGAGATGGAAAGTACTGGAATCATTACTGATAAATGTTACAATAATACGGATGGTGTCGACCTCGATGTCATAGGATCGCTAAAGCTTCGAGAAAGCAGAAATTATGGAGCAGATGTGAAAATCTGTCGACAGAAAAATAAAGCAATTTATTCTGAATACAAGAATAATTTTAATAATAAAGAAGGTTTGGGATTGTTGGGTTAATAATAGAGAGATAATAATATAGAAAACATTCATTTCATACATAGTAAATTAGAAGAAAATATATTTTACAAATAATTTGTATTGGTCTGTAGTCATATATATTTTTATATTCTTAATTTAAGAAGAAATACAATTAACAAAATTGCACTATGTAAGTAATTATAATGCAAACTGATCCATTGTTCAGACCTCAAAAACAAATAGTACATTGGTTGGGAATGGGCTTTTTCGCCTCTTGATAGACTAGTATCCGGTTAACATATATTGAAAAAATATGAATATAATCAAATGATATAGCTTGATGGCTAACCTGGCTACATCATTTGATTATTATGGTAAATGACACTTTGTTTTCTAGCTAATTATAGCAAATATTTTCCACCATATATCTTTGTTACAACTTTATGACAATTATTAGTACACCTGCCTCAAGTTGAGAGTTATAATAGATTCTCTTTTCTTTTTGTACTCTATATATATATATATATATGTGTGTGTGTGTGTGTATTTTATCTTATTTAATTTAATAAAATAAATAAAAGTACTACCTAAAATATATGTCGCAGGATTAAAATAATCTTTCGGACTGGACTGCGTCGGTATAAGCCAGGTGATCACAATACTTTTTTCACAATACTGATCTTGTAAGAGTCCGCGAATCTGTGCGTAGTAAACTTCGTCGTCTTCATCCACAAGTGATACAATATCACCCACTTGATAATAAGTACCCTAGAAGATAAAAAAATCTTCTGTAATTTTCAATACTAAGAAATATAACTCTTTATGCATTAGAATAAAAATAATAAAATAATTTTTTAAAAAAACAAATCCATCATTATTAATAATCCAGCTTTTGAAAACTCTAAAAAGTTGAGAGTATGATATATACTGTACATAGATAAAATGGGGACATGGGAAACAATTGCAGGCCCTGGGAATAAGCTTTGAGGATCTTCCTATATCATCTAACACAATGCTCTTGGTTTATTCCATTTTTTCTCTTTATACACTTAAAGTTACAAATATTTTCTAGATGTCACAATTAAAATCTTATTATAAATAGTTGGTCTTGATCCCATCCATGGAGATGTATCCATGAGCCCTATACAGGCCTGGGACTGTGGATACGACACCAACTCCCTCTCTAAATGAAACTGGATAAAATACTGAAGGTTTTTTTTGTAACCTTAAAAATAGTACTTTACTGTTTGTGTATTATAGAATAACCAAGTTTTGTCAATTTTTGCAGTCAGCTTACTCTTTTGAACATGGAACAAACTATATTTCATATTTAATAACATAACATGAGATTAAGTGAAAACAATATCTTAAGTACTCTGCATACCCTTTCATTCATTATGTGCAGTCAAACTGATTTAGCACCATCTTTTTAGGCCCAAAATACATCACAGAATAAAAATTATATAGAATAATAGGATCAATGCAAAAGTTGTTTGAAAGCTTGAAAAAACTGAACTGATGGAATAATGCAACACATGGACAATCTGTCAAAGGAGGAACGCCTCCCAAGAGGACTTTCTACAGAAAACTGGCCCCTATTCAAGTATAAGACACATGATAAAATCAGGAAAACTCCAGGGGGTCAGCCATTGGTGAAGTGCAAATCTGCAACCAATATTTAGTGGTTTTATTCACTTGGCCACTGGTGGGCAAGCTTCAAACAGATTCAATTTGTGATGATAATGTCATTTGCAATGCAAAATCATACACCTGGACATCAAAAGGTTCTCTATTTAATATTTATGAGGAAGATCTGTTCACAAGTGGTGCTATTTTGCAAAGCATTTTTTCGAGGTTTGGCTGTGTTTAATTTTGTTGTTATGCTGAAATGTTTATAGCCCTATTACACCTATTTTATTTTTAATACAACTCTTATTTACTACATTTTGCCACTCTAACTTATTCCACGGCATTATGGCTTTCAAATTTGCTCTTAAACAAAATGGTAACAACTGTATCCTATATTTATTTATAACATTCTCGAGAGCAGTAACTAAAAATATTTTAAATTAATAATCATATATATATATATATATACTTTTGTAGGCAATTAACACATTCACAATGAGTAAATATGCATTCCAGATAACATATTAAACCAAGAACTCTTTAAAAGTGGATAATTCCTCATCTACTTTTCATGTATACAAATAAATGACATGGATTCTTGTTCCAATTACTGAAAATTAATGAAAAATCATTAGAGATTTAACAGACAGATTTATACAATAACAATGCACTATAAAGACAATGTTATACAGGGTGTCTGAAAAGTTACTGTGCAGCGAGAAATTTGTAATGACATTCCAGTTATATACCTATAGGTCGTAGATCTTGCATTTCTGCTACACGATAGACAATGCCACCACTCACTCACAGATATTCTGGTTTTTGGACTACAGTTTTTGGAAGACTTCTTTGCCTAGTGCATAATCTCCAGCAAAATCTGGACCACTAGATGTCCAAACTTCGCTCCCCAAATTTTGGATCTCTGGGGAACATTTCTGGCATTTCCCACAGGAGAAACTGCAATACTGTATTGTATGTAAAACTTCACTTTTATTAAAACTTTACTTAAATCTTTTCCACTGCACAGTAAAGGAGGATGCACACATGCGGCACATCACGGAAAACCAGTGTCACAAATGCATCTTCACCGTGTGCCAGACAACCAGACAAGCGGCAATCCACTAACATTTTGGCACATGCATTCAATATTCAAGATGACAAATGATACCGAAACTGCCACTATCCACGTGTTTATAAATCTTGTTTTGTATGGCTTGCTTTATTTAGCTAGAAGATTTAAACAAAGATTTTGGATTAGAGATATTTTCTTGGATCGAGAAGGAACTGGTGTGCAAAATAGGCTTATTCCTCAATTAAGATCTCTTGATAAAGAATACTATTTCAAGTAAGATTCAGTTGTTTTGTTCTTTGAATTAAATTATATATGATTATTTGTGTAGAGTTTGTGTTAAATTTATTATCCTTTCCTCTTTATTCTGATGTTAGTTATCTTCGGTTAACCTCATTGAACTTTCCGCTATTAAAACACCATGTGATTGTATTTTCTCACGTGACTACAAGAGAACTGTTATTGGCTGATAGAAACATGTCTTGGTGGTGTTTGCTGCAAAAGATAGAATTCAACCAACTTTTGCGGCACGAGAAAAGCGGCACAAAATTGACTTCTGCAGCGAGAAAAAGTGACGTCATTCTGCTGCTTTTCCTTGCTGCACTGCATGTGTGCATCCTCCTTAAGTTTCCAGACACCCTACATGTATTATGTATGAAAGCAATGAAGTATCATCACACAAGGTAAAAACAGATTTCCTGGAGAAATAAATTAGAGAAGCACTATTTCATTCATTTACATCATCATCATTATTATTTTTAAATTAAAAAAGTGGAAAATAGCTTTAATAGAAATTGTCATTTACACTCAGATAATGCAAAGATCATTCAACATTGAAACTGAACAATGACAATGAAGCTATAAAGACACAAGATATTTCAGAACGACTTAATATCATTCAAAAAAAAATCAACAAAACTTGATACCATAAAGTAACAAATAAACAAACTACCTCAATTTTAAGACATTAAAACTGTATTTAGAATAAAATAGAATACAGGTTTAAAACTATAAATTATACAAGTATTTTATACAATGATTTACTATTTGATACTGGTAAGTGTTCAATACCATTTATAAGTTTGTTAGATGCCTAAGATGGTGTGAGATTAAACAAAAACATTTCGGTTTTATTTTAGGGTTACTAATCCCTAATCCTGAAGGTGGTTGAAAGGGTTTTGTTACTAAGATTTAGTCTTGGTTGTTGTTATATATATACATGAAAGTAACAGTGTTTTGTGTATTATAAATGATCTTTTTAAAAATTATACCTTGAAATATATTTTCACTATAAATAAAACTCAAATAACATTATACTGATTGCTTCCAATAAGTAACAAAGATGCTGAGATAACGTACACATTCTAGTTTCAATCAAACAGGATATCAGTGAATTGCAATGTACCAAAATGCATTTTGATATTCATCGACAGGCTTATCAGTGTGGAAACTGATGCACTTCACATTCATCAAGCTTCTAATATGACGAGCTCTGACATTGCAATATGGTTGTCTCCACAATTATATTACTAACATCATTTTCACTACTTGTCTGTATTAACCCAAAGTCATTTTGACAAAGGTATGTAAATGCCAATATATGCTCTCTGCCTAAATCAGATGGCACTATGGTAAAACACCCTTTTGCAGTAGAAATTCCAAAAATGTAGTTACAAACACATGTACTTATATAGATGCAATTAACATAGTTTAAAGAAATAATTTTATTTCCTGTTGCTTTTGAGGATGATTTTTTGTATAAAATCCATTAGAGCATGAAAAAATTAGAATAAACAGGCCATTTTCATAACATTACTCAAAATATTCAAAAATATACAGCTTTTCATAAATATATTCCACAAATGCATGTACTGTACATAAATCTAGCTAACAAATTCCACTAGAAGTTATAGAAAAGTTAATCATCTATACTACATCTCTTTTGATCATTTTTATAATACAATTAAACTTTAATTTTATAAAAATGTATGTTTTTTGTTTAAAATAAAAATATTAATGCAAACATTTAAAAATCTCTTTAATGTCTATTGCAAAAGAAGAAAGTAAGAAGAAAGTACATGCAAGATTTGCTGTCATCGACACAGGAAGTAAGGAAACTGATAAAAGAATCAATGTAAACGTATTAACTTGATGGCCATATATTATTTTTTCAGCTTAATGACCAATGAAAAATGATTAATGCCTTTTGCTTGTGCAAGGCTGGACTTCTTGGTAGATGCAAACATGCTGCACATCTTACTTTTTATTAGTAAAAAAGAAAAATAGAACCAAGAACAAGTTTACCACAAGATATATCCAGTTGATCCAAATATAACATACTGATAAAAACTCTACAGATATTATCTGCTCAATAAAGAGTGCATTGCCCAGAAATGCCACAGCTACACTGTTCTCCAGATGGTATTATCAGACGTTTGAATTTATCTATTAAATTACGGCTGCATATGTAAAGGTTTGTTTGAGTGTATTTAGGTATTATCAGAGACAGTGATAGACATTATTGTTTATTGGAAATAAAATATCCATCAAAACTTAGGAATTCTTTTATAATTAATAAAGACAAACAAATAAAAGTAAAGCCTCCTTACAGTATTAATCTATGCCTTTCTTCTAACTGAGTTCATTTTCATTCGAAAAAAATAAAAAAACTATTTTCATGGAATTACCATAAGAAGTATTACATTCTACCAATATAAATATTTTGTTTCTTTATTCCAGAGGAAAAATTCACCGAATTTGTCACATTAGCTTTGTCGTAACTCTGTTGTTTGTAAGTACAAAGTTCACTATTTTACACAAGAGGTCTCCCGTCAGGAGTGCAAAATATATAGGCAGAAAGCTTATTGGCAAGCGCCAAATCCGACAGACGGCGCTGTTTTTGAGCTAAGATGGCTGCCGAAACAGGTAAGGAACTGACCACATGTTTGTTCAGTGCCTGAGCCGATTCAGTTTCTATTGGTGACAACTACTGCGAGAACCAAATGAAGAACAAATCATTGAATTTATGTCAGATTCTAGACTATATTGGCGACAGGAAACGTTGTCTTGTAGAAGGTGAAGCCGTTTTGGATATATGAGATGTACTGTACACACACACACACAAAACATAATGGGTGCTACAAACTTTTGATTGACCTATGTTGTATAAGTGCTGAATGACTCAGCAGGGTATCCTTCAGATTGGCACTAATTTTAACTATTATGATAAAACTATGTTTTTATATTGGAACATGGTGTATACTGCTTAAAATATTTAGATACTTCTCATCTGTTAATGTGCAATAAACATGCTATCACATGTTTACAAAAACCAGACAGCCCCGCTTTGCAAGTGCATTCTCCCTGTAATTGAGATGTATTAAAATGCCAATATCTGAGATTGCAACATTAAAGCAACAACATGAACTTTGGTGTTATTAGAGTTTAATCCACAAAATACAATGTGTCCAGCATCCAAAACGGCTTCACCTTCTACAAGATGTTTCCTGTCGCCGATATAGTCTAGAATTTGACATAAATTCAATGATTTGTTCTCCATTTGGTCCTCACAGTAATCGTCACTGATAGAAACTAAATCGGCTCAGGCACTGAACAAATACGTAGTTGGTTCCTTACCTGTTTCGGCAGCCATCTTGGCTCAAAAACAGCTCCCTCTGTCGGATTTGGCGCTTGCCAACAGTGCTGTTTGTTTCCTCCATCTTGTTAGGTTTCCAGACACTCTGGTAAATGCTTATTACATTGTTCTCTGGTGCATACCAGAATGGGCCTAACGTGTTTGGTCATTTCTAATGGAATCTGCTTTATTTCTAACTCATTTGAAATTTGTTGTAAGTTTAGTTTGTGGGATTAAGTAATTAATTATAATTTTTAATGAAATAAACCTTGAATGAAAATATTATTTGAGTAATATTTCTGAATCTTTACAAT